AAAGGGTTGTTAAGAGTCATAATTGACTCTGTGGTACTGAGTTGAGTACTACTTTGGAGATTAGCCACCTCTATTCAGCATAGGACTTCTAAATTCTTCTCTTGGATCTTTGCTGGAGATAAAGTTTGTTGGATTGAGAAAGCCTGACCTTTATTGATAGCATACTAGCAGGCCCAGCACAAACTGAGGAAAAGCAATACGAAACTGAAGGCGGGTTTTTAATAATAAACCTTAACAATAAGTTTATTGTCTTTTTATAGCCAGAGACTGTGCGAATTGCTATACATACATTGCTTCATTCCGTTTTCACCATCACTACAAAGCATGGCTATGTTATTGTGGTAGTTACATAATCTGGTGTCAATTTGAGAGGATTATAAGTGAAGGGGTAGAGTCTGACCTGTCAATGAAGATATAACCAATGAAGCCTACATGTGGGCATGGCCTTCTCCTGAGAATTCCGGGAACTCGGTTTTTCTTCCTTGGAGATGGAAGACACAATCTCTCTCTCTGCTCACTCCCTGCAAGACATCCCTGAGGAAAAGCCACATGGACCTACCCTGATGCACCAGAACCCCAGAGCTGGAGAAGCCACGCGGAGACCCCTGTTGTAAGCACTGAGATGCTTACAACAACACTGGATCTACAAGACTTCCCACCCACTGGCCTGTGATCTTCCTGCATTCGGCATCATTGCATGTGTTTCGTGAGTCTGAAGAGGACTTTATAGATTGGTATCGGACATATGGGCCCTTATCAGATCTGGACTGGCTTGGAATGCTTTCTTAATGTACAATAACCCTTTGTATAAAACTCTCTCTTATATACACATGCGTGTTTATGAACTTGTTTCTCTAGTCTACCCAGATTAACACAGTTATTAACTTCATTTTACAGAGAAGGGAAATGTAACGAAGAAAGTTCCCCAGTGGCTGAGCTGGGATGGAGACCTGAGTCTGGTGCCAGAGCTTTTAACCAGCACACGAAATGCCTCCTCCTGCCATGGTCACTCAGCAACTGGTTAGCTCAGGTCCAACGTTTTAGGTTTTTCAGCCCAAATCTCTACCATCTATCCTGATTCACATCATGGTCATATATGCCAACAGACCATATGAAAATACATGCGTGGGTATTAGTCATTAATTGTTTCAACAATTTAAAAATGTCTTCTGTATACCAGCTATTATGTTAGTTCAAAGGAATGTAAATATAAAGATCCATGATCCTTTCCCCACCCCCCAAAGCTTCCAGCCTCAGTAAGAATCTCCAGACATTTACAAATTAGTACGATGAAGGCTCTAAGGCAGTGGTTCTCCACCTTCCTAATGCCGCAACCCTTTCATGCCCCCTGTGTTAGACAGGGTTCTCTAGAGAGACAAAACCAGATTGCTAATAAATATATATATACAGGTAGATAGATATATAGCACAAGAAAGAAAGTGAAATTATAAAGCAGTACAAATGGCTCAGTGCAACTCACTCCCATGAGACAGTTGTGAGACAATGGCAGTCCTTCAAGTCTTGAGGGCCGCCAGGTAGTCCTCTGGGCACAGGCAGCAAACAGCAAGGCAGTTCACCAACAGTCAGCCAGATGACAGGGTCCGATAGTCCCCAGCTCAAGAGATGTAAATTCCAATTGTGTGGCGAAGCAGGTCTTGAAGGAACCTCAAATTACAGTGACACAGTCCATGGGTTAGGTGTCCCACAGGTAGTGTAGCTTGCAAATGGAGGCACAGAACAAGCAAGGCAGCCGCACACTGGTCCGATGATCAAAGAGCAACAGACAAGAAAGGAGAGACTCACCGAGCCATTTATCTTTCCGCTCTTCAGTTAATCCCACGTGTGTTTTATCAGCCAGGCTGGCACAATACACTAAGTACCTCACCCCCCTACCATAAAATGATTTTCGTTGCTACTTCATAACTGTCATTTTGCTACTGTTAAAATCGTCATGTAAAGATCTGATAGGATGTATTTCCATTGTTACAAATGGAACATAATGAAAGCATAGTGATTCATCACAAAAACAATGTCATTCTGTATTGTGAAATATTTATTTCTAATGACAAATAGATGAAATTTGTCTTGAAGCATGGTGTAGCACGGGAACGGTCTTCACGCAGGTCCTCATATGTGGGCGCATCTGCAAGTGGACGGACCCACCTGGAGACGGATAGAGGGGCGGTGTCTCAGTTCCTAAGACCATCGGACATAAGTGTTTTCCAATGGTCTTAGGCGACCCCTACAAAAGGGTCATTCGACCCCCAAAGGGGTCATGACCCACAGGTTGAGAACCAGCTGCTCTAAGGAAAGGTCACAGGGCTGTGGAACCACAGAGGGCTCTCAAAGAAATGTTGAGGTAAGCGGACTTATCAAGAGTAGGCATTGCCAGGAAAAGATGCAGGGTGAGCAACAGAGGAGAGAGTACCATTTTTTGAGCAGAGGAACCTGTAGGCATTTCTAGAAATATGCAGAGGCCAGACCACACCAAGTATTGAAACTCCTCAGAGCGTTTTTTGAACAAGAGCAGATGCCAAATCAAACTAGCTGGTGTAGTGAGGTGTGGCCTTAAGACTCAGGTGTCTACCACCGGAGAGACTAAGTCTCTGTATCTCTTAATACATGGCTCACCAGAGAAGGAATCTAATCAAGTCACTGGTCAATGGCCTGAGTCAGGTATCAGTCCCTCCTCTGACCCAGATGTGTGGATGTGATGTGATATGTGGCTATGGGACATATATGTGATGTGATGGAGCCTCTTAAGACTAGCATCCTGTGCCAGTGCATGCCCTCCCAGGAACTATGGGTAAGCAATTGTCTACAAGTAGGCTATGGGTGAGGAAGGAGATAAAATGAATCTGCTACTACACTGCATGCCATCAGACTGGTTTGGATGCTTCAGTAGACAGTTACAGAAAGCAAAAGGGAGTCCGAGGTCAAACTCTCTCGAAGTAGGAGTGAGCATTTCAAAGCTTTAGGCCAGGGATCCTCCAACTTTTTAAACAGGGGACCAGTTCACTGTCCCTCAGACCCGTTGGAGGGCCAGACTATAGTTTAAAATAAAACTATGAACAAATTCCTGTGCACACTGCACATATCTTATTTTGAAGTAAAAAAACTAACGGGGCCAAAACACCCAGTGGGCCTGATAAATGTCCTTGGTGGGCCGCATGTGGCCCAGGGGCCATAGTTTGAGGATACCTGCTTTAGGCCATTCCCATGCATGGCCCTATGCACCGTACCCATCAGGCTGAAATCATTCTAAGGGTTTAAGAATTGATGTGGATTTTGAATTATTTAAAAATTGGGATAGCGATCATCTCCCAAATAAAATATTCATTAAAAAAAAACTCTTACTCTGAACAGAGGCTACACCAGCAGAGCCAGCCACTAGCTAGGAGGAGACTGATACCTCTCTCAGTGTGTAAAACAAAGGACACCCCCAGCCCTCAAGTGACAAGGCATTCATCTTTACTGTAGCGACTAATTCTTTGTGCTTGGTGCTTAACCTAAAGGTTGGCAGTTCAAACCCACCCAGAGGCACCACAAAAGAAACACCTGGTGATGTGCTTCCATTAAGAGGAGAACCAAGAAACGCCACGGAGCAGGCCCTACAGTGTCACACAGTGGGCGCGCGCGCGCGCGCGCGCGTGCGTGCGCGTGTGTGTGTGTGTGTGAATCAATTTGAAGGCGATGGGCTTAGTTGTAGCAACTAGCAGTGCTTACCCAAAGAATGCAGGCAGAAATGATGGGCCCCTAATTCAGGCTTAGATGGGTACCTCTAAGCCCGTCGGTACCTGGCACCGTGGTAATCACTGTCTCTGGCAGAAGTCTACTCTCTCGATGCAGCTGGGTGCCCAAAAGAGCATACAGAAAGGCTTCCCTGCTGGTCCGTTCACGGCCTGGTGCTGCATATGCGCTAGGAATGAGCACTGATTAGGTTCCAGTAGATAGACAGCAAGGGATTTATTGTGAACAGTTGTTAGCCTACCCCAAAAACCGACCAAACATCCTGGCTAAGAAGGAATATGTCATACACTATCTTTCCCCCCCCTTCTTCCCTAAGGTAATATAGGAGTCAAGAGATGATGCTCAGACAGAGATGAAAAAAAATGTTTAATGTGAGTCTTCAAAAATATTTCTCTGTAACCATTTTTTATGTAATTCACAAAAGCACATTTCTACGATGCATCCAAATTCTGTGTTCAAACAAGAATAACCTGAGGAAGGCAGGCCTTTTGTTTCTGGGTCGTCTACAGGGTAAACACTGGTGTAAGCGTAGGAATTGTTATCGCTCTGATGTTTTCCTGAGTGCATCTTCTTCAACATTTCATCAAAGACTCTCTTCCCCCTTAGATACATAGAGGTTTCTGCTTCTTGTTCTTGTTCTACTTAGGCAAGCAACTGCAATCTTAGAATTAAGAGCCCAGAATTCACACAGCAAATAGGACCGGTGAAAAAGAGACGGACGTTCCACTTTAGCGAACACATACAGTGCATCTCGAAATAAAACGTATTCACTAGCAAAGGTTTAGACCATTGGCACGCGAGGAGGGTGGCTGTTCTGTTTACTGAGCCCTCTCCGGGCCGAGTTTGATTGTCTTCTTTGCTTTCTGAGTCACCCTCTTCATTTCGCTTCCTCCAAATGTCACCCTGGCGTCAGACAGCAACATGGCTTTGAAGAGAAGTTGGGAATAGCTGCAGATGACTCTGGCTGTGGGATGATCCTGGCTGGTCAGAGAGCACATGCTGCGGTTTCCAACTCAACACGTGTGCCAGTTGTCCATGCTATGATCCTGTGTCATGCAGCAGATGGAAAATGTGATATTGTTTGATTTTTATTTTTGCTGACTTTATTTTTCAGGGCGCAGAGATGAAGGCTTATAGGAAACTAGGCCATCATACTAATGAATTAGACTTGGAAACTGGAACACAGTCCACCAAATTTTAATTAGATGATACTGGGAAAGTCTAATATTGGTTGGGGGTTGGGGGGGCAGACAAACAAAAACCAGCAACAACTCTCTGTATGTAAAAGTGAAAAAAATTCACATTATCCTTTAAATAGCACCTATACCTGTTGATGATTTTTTAAGACAGCTTCTACCCTTCCTAGGATTAACAAAATGTTCACTCCATTGTGGCTCATCTTTCTACACCCAAATGGTTATTCCTTAACAATCTACTACTACTTATTAGCAATGTAAATAATTTTGTGCTTCTCAATGATGCCAATGTCATGTTCCAGCTGCTTCATTTCTTCTTCCAGCTTCTGCTTCCGGATCTTCTTCGGGATGGAATCGATGAACACGGAGAGGGACTGGAACTCTCGGTGCACCTTTCCCCAGTTCTGTTTCAGCCCCTGTGGACGGCAAAGAGAGTTGTAACTACTCAAGGAAACTGCAAACGGAAAGCAAGCGGTAAAGGAGCGAGCGGGCGGTCCGGGAAGCCGGAGATGTAAGCAGGTAAGAGAACATAGAGGGACTTGTATAAGGACAGGCGTATTGGACGGAGGCCGAGCGCTGCCCTTGACGGAGGGCTCCATCCCACTGGGAGTATTTGATTGGCTCTGTTTTCAAAGTCACTGTACTTGTTTTTAACCATTCAATATGCATTTTCAGAGGTTCATATGAGGAGTATGAAGCTAAGCTCAGAGCAAATGCTCTGGTTTAAAAAAACAAAAAACACCAGCAACTTCAAATTGATATCTCCAAGGAAAGAAACCAGTTTTCAGGCAGAAAATATGTTTTTTACCAATTTTCTGCTTGTTTTCTTTAGGGTCGACTTTGAAAAAAATCATGATCCTCATTCTGTAATAGAATGATTCCCATTAACAGGGTGATTCTGGGCAGCACGGCTATACTTTACACCTGGCACAGTGGAGTTACACAAAATGCCAAACTTTCAATGTTACAAGAAAAAAAAAAATCAAGGCTCTCTTAGAAGTCAGAAGGAGACCTGGTGGTGTGGTGGGTTAAGGACTGTGCTTCTGACTATAAGGTTGGAGGTTCAAGCCCACTAGATGTTCCGTGGTAGGATGATGAGGCTGTTTGCTCAGGTAATGAGTTGCCGTTTCATAAACCTGAGAGAAGTTCTGGTCTGTCCTACAGGGTGGCTATGGGCTGGAATCCACTTGAGCGCAATGGCTTTGGTGGGGTCTGGAAGGAGCAGTAAGGTCCCATTGATCTCTGCATAGTCCCTATTTCTTACCACAGTACAGTAGGGACCCCGTTATCAAAACAGTCTCAAACTACTAATTGAAATTATATAAATTTAAAATATTATCATCATTTTACAGTTCAATATGGATGCCTGGCTTGTTTATTGACACAAAAACAGAAAGATAAAATGCAGATGTAATTTAAAATATTTCTTTGAAAATGTGGTCCTTGTAAATAGTGGTCAGACCTTGGCATTTAACAGAGAATTGAAAGTGTCTAACTTCATAAAAAAATATAAATTATCAAGGGTTCATGAGGGAGGGAGGGGGGGAAAATGAAGAGCTGATACCAAGGGCTCAAGTAAAAAGAATATGTCTTGAAAATGATGATGGCAATATACGTACCCAAACTCTCCCCCCCCCACCAAAATGTGCGTGACACAATGGATGGATGTATGGATTGTGATAAGAGCCATAATAGCCCCCAGTAAAAATATATTTTTTGAAGTGTCTAACTTAAGTGAGGATGATGGGACTTGACATGTATCAGGAGGAACCAGTCCCTGGAGAAGGAGACCATGCTTGACTCAGGAGTGGGGCAGGGAGAAAGAGAGCCTTGACAAGATGAGCTCTCACACCGGGGAGCTCAGCCCTGACAACCACGGTAAGGACGGAGCTGGATGGGCAGTGTTTTGTTCTGTAATCCACAGGGTTGCTCTGAGCCAGAGCTGACTCCACGGTCCCTAATGACAATAGCAATGCCAGCATCATAATAATCCTGTCATACAAACCCTCGTGGGGTTACATGGAATGCGGTGGTGGGATTCAAGTAATTTAACAGCCAAATTTACTGCCCTGATGAACATTTTAAGCATTTTTGAAAAATGACATACTGAAAGGTAGTTTATTATTTCATTATGATATCAGAACGCCTCTGTTTCACAGATGAACATTAAAAAAGAGTAAGGAATGTAAATTTGTGATTTCCACACTGGGTGGCTGCCCACCTTAAAGACAACCCTGGTGACAAGTGCCATTTTCACAACAAGTTCACCAAGCTCAACAGTTAGGTATCAGTTTTGTGAAACCGATGCAAACCAGGTCATGTTATCTTTGCAGAAACTTTCCAATGGCAATTGTGTTGGTCTGGGCGGACTAGAGAAACAAAATCATAGACACTCATATGTGTTTAATAACGAGCTTTATAATAAGAGCAACTGAATATTGAGAAAACATCCCAGCCCAGTCCAGATCAAGTCCATACGTCCGATATTAGTCCATATGTCCAATACCAATCTATAATTTCCTCTTCAAATTCACGAAACACATGCAATGACACTGAATGTAGGAAGATCACAGGCAAGTGGGTGGAAAATCTTGTGGATCCAGTGGTGGTGTAAGCATCTCAGTGCTGGCAGGGGTCTCCATGTGGCTCCTCTGGCTCCAGAGCTCTGCCTTGCATCAGTGTAGCTCGATCAGGCTCATTGGTAACGTCTTGCAGAGAGTGAGTGTGTGTTCCACCTCCAGCAAGCTATTTATCTCCTTAGTGCCTCCAAATGAGGTCATCAAGCTGCGACCTGATTGACAGGCTAAACTCCACCCCTTCACTCTTACGTCCCAAATTGACAACAGATTATGTAACTACCTCAGCAATAGAATCGCAGTGGCTGATTTCCACACTTAGGTAAAAATGATTGTAGGAATAGGCTAGCTGAGGAAAAGGATAACATAGTTAGACCTCTCATTGAATGAAGGTCTAGCAAGGATCTGAGAAGGGAAAGATAGATGGAAAAGGCATCCGTGTTGAAAAAGAAGCAAGAAAGAAGAGTCGGGAGAGTAAACGTGTGTGACACATTCTTCAAAGTGCATGAGGTGTCTTCCAAAAAGAAGTCTCAAAATAATTCTTTTCCCTTCTTTCGTTTCCTTTTTATGAGATGTGAAATATGCCTCCACGGTGCTCCACAGGGGTGCCCACGGCACAGAGGAAATCTGTGCATTCATACACTTCCAAATATCAAAGGCTTTCTCAGAGCTGGTTGGGCACGATTTCCATATCACTCTTGGTCACAGCAGATACACATTTCCCTCTGTGTCCTCCTTGAGGAAGGGTTTGCTTTCATCTTCCAGGAGGCGCAAGCATGTTCGGATCCAGGAGCACAGCAGGGAGTGGAGACCGTAGCTCCCTCGTCTACTGACATAACCGCCTTGAGCTTCTTGAGACGTCCCTTCCAGGCAATTCCATCCGACGGTCTGTCATCCATTGCCACAAGAGCAACTTTCTCTTATTCTTCTTAGATTTATTTTCCTCTTGTTTTAGTGCTGATATGATATTATTCACTTTGGAAAACTTTCAAATAGGGACAAGTGGTCATAAAATAAACAGTAGGTGCTTTGATTTTGAGCAGGAACCTTGCCGGGGGGCGGGGTAGCTTCTCATTGCCAGGTCGGCAGTTGGAAGCCACCAGCTCTGTGGAATGAGGTTCTCCACTCCGGTACAGAGTTCCAGTCTCAGAGATACACCAGCTCAGGTCTTCCCTGCCCTATGGGGTCACTATGAGTAATAACTGACGATGGATGGCAGTGAATTTTGAGTTGAGTTTGAAGCTCTTCATGCCTGACCTCTGCACAACCCCTCCGCATCCATTCTCCGTCATCTTGCCCTGCCTTGTGCCTTGGGGTGGGGTCTATGACTTGATCCTTGTGGGCTGTAACACTCTGGCTCCTTTGCCCTCTGACCTCTGACTGAATTCAGCCAATGGATGCACCCCTACCCCCTTGGTTCTACTTGGACTCTAGTTCCGGGTGCATCACTCCATCGCTGTATACTTGCCAAAAGCATGATTTGAGAAGGGGGAAAGAAATGGATGCATATTCATGAGAATGAACTGGCCAAGCCCATGCTTTCCCGTTAATGAATTAGGGAATTGAGTTAACTAGCCCTTCTTTCAGTCTCTGATTTTCTCAAGGCCCCCCTAATACTATCATCCCCCCTGCCATTGAAGTGAAGGGGGCGCAGCATTCTCTGCTCCACGTCTATAAAACAGAGATCCTTCTTTAAGTTCTCTTCACATTCTTAGGGGAGCGGATCTTCTCTTTCCTGCTGGACCCGTGACCAGTCCAGTAGTACAGCTTCCCCTGGTACCCCAGACGCAGGGCAAACACTGGCTTGGGGATTGGTAAGCGTGAATTGCAGTCCCTATTCAAACACTTGGCAATTTGGGGACCAAACCCAAAGTTAAAGCAAACTTGAAGAAGGCACAGCTATTCGTCTCTGCCTGTCTGAAGGACCAAACACGTGGTGAAAAGAGACGATGATGGAAACCATAGTCTAACGGGCTACTGGACCAAGTCAATCTCAGTGTCTAGGACCCCCGAGGCCAGACCGAGATGGCCCGACACCCACTAAAAACTGCCGTGAAAGGGATCACAATAGAGGGTTTGGATAGAATGAGAGGAAAAAACAAAACTCAAAATCACCAAAAAGGCCAGGCTTACAGGTTGGATAGAACCTGGTGACATCTCAGGTCACCACCCTGTCCTCCCCAGCCTCACCCCTAGCTATGGTCCTTAGTCACTAGGACTCAGCTTGATGACCTAATTGGAGGTGCCATGGAGATAAATAGCTCTCTGGGGCCAGATACACACAACTCTCTGTTTGGTCTTCCTGCTGACAAGACACATGGGGCTTCGCTGATAGAGCCAGAACCCTGGAGCTGGAGGAGCCACGTGGAAACCCACACCAGCGCTGAGATGCTTCCACCGCTACTGGATCCACAAGACCTTCCACCCACCAGCCTGCGATCTTCCTGCACTCAGCGTGGTTACATGTGTTGCCTGAGTTGAAGAGGAATTTACAGACTAGTATTGGACTTAATGGGCTAATATAGAATTTATGGTCTTGATCTGGATTGGCTGGGCTGTTTTCTTAATACACAATTGCTTTTGTATATAAAACTCTTTCTTATACATATATGAGTGTCTATGAATTTGTTTCTCTAGTCAACCAGGACTAACTGGTCACCCTTCAGGTGTGGCAATAAACTCAACCCCACGGGCTAAATTTTCAGCGGAAAGGGCAACAATAACCTGGGGGGAGGCACACACCATCCTCTATTTGAATCACGGGGAAGCATTTGCTCCAGGACAAGAGCAGGAGCGTTCATCAGGAAAGAGACTGAGTGGAAATGGCCCCAAACAGGCAGGAGGTAGGACGAGAGGGGTTCAATTGTGTACTTGCAGTCAAAGAGAGGAAAGAAAAATGTGGATGGACTGTGTAATGGAAAACCGAGCTAATCTGTAAGCCCTCCCAGTCACAAGAGAAGACAACAGCAACCCCCGAGTTCAGTACCTCCAAGTTCATTCGACCAGGGCCGTATCTGTGCTGCTCAGGACAGTGCCCTCAGGGCTATGCATGGCGCCTAGAAGACACATGCTGAGCCCGAGGTGAATTAATTGGGTGAGGGAAGGAACAAATGAGCTCACTTAATATCTTTGCATTTTATATCCTCATCTGTAAATAAGGGGTTTGCAATCATTAGACCAGAAGATGCCTCCCAGCTATAATGAGTTATTTGATGAATAATGAACAGAATGTGGCCTGCTCAGGGGCATACAACTGTGTTGTCATAGAAGTATAACCCATCACCAGGGAGGGACGCCTGGTTCAGGGCTTGTCAGAGCCTAGCTCCTGGCTTGTTGCTATGGCAACTGGACTCCCTAGCCAATGAGGCCCCCGAAGGAGAATTTGCTCTGGCTGCATCCAAGGGTCTGCAAGGAAACCTTGCCGATTACATTAGGAAGTTGAGGGCTGGTTACTAACGACCATCAAAGAAGCAGTTGGAGGAGGAGCCTTTTCCTCCTGAGGGAAGTCTTCCTCTTGTCCCTGTTCTTCAGTATAATTGAGTTATAAAAACACACACACCCGGCTTTCACCAAATCACAGACCTTCTGAAAATGGAAAGGGGAGTGGCAGGAAGTAAAGGAGAGAGACACACACAGAAAGAGAATGAGCGAATATGAATGGCTCAAGACCAGCATCCTCCCTCGAATGAATTAGGACTCAGTTAATGAGCTACCACAGAAGGTGTCACCATGGAGTTGTACATGACATTCAGAGAGTTGTTGGCACATGTTCCGTCTCTATTAAGGCTCACCTACCCCTTGTGCGGGCTCTACTGCAGCCTCCCTGGCCAGCAGGCGTCCCCCGAACCCTCCCTCCGTGGCTGCCATCCTTCCCACCAGTCTGCTATCTCCCAGCACTCACATTTACATTGGGCACAGAGTTTGGTACCAGGGCTACCATTGTCTGCAAAGAGACAGTCCCTATCCTTTACCCCCCCACCTCTATGAGAGCCCCCTCCAATGTGGCGAAAGATCGCCACCCTTGTATATATTTGGAAAACCTTAATAATAAAAAAAGTACTCCTACATACATTCACATATGCATAGGTTTATACAGACGCATCTTCATATCTAAGTGAACCCAGGTAGTGGAAGGGTTAAGTGCTTGGCTGCTAACCTGGAGATTGTCGGTGGGAACCCACCCAGTGGCTCGCTCTGAGAGAGAAAGACCCAGAGCCAGAAAAGCTCCTGTAAAGATCAGAGCCAAGGAAACCCTGCAGGGCAGTTCCGCTCTGCCCTGTGGGTGCTCCAGGAGTCCGAATCATCTCTAGGGTGGCCAGCAACAACATGCAAACACACAATTCCTCATCAATCAGATGATAGCCTTCTCCAAGGCAGAAGTTGGATCTTATTCCTTTAACAAATACCCCCAGGGCTGAGCACCCTGATTTATGCAGGGAATCCCTGCTTACTAGTGACGATGACATCGATGAAATGCAAAGCCTGTGTAACAGCACACGGATCTCTTTTGAACAGAAATGTCCGTGGTTAAGACAGTTTTTACTTGGTTGCCGCGTTTTTAGTTTTTAAAAGGTGACTAGAAATGGCTTTGTGGAAAGCTTTCAATATACCAAAACACAGGGTCAAGTGCATGTTTACCTGTGTAAGAGAGAAGTAAAAGCTAACTGTACAACAGTAGGTACAAGTTCCCTCTAAACATGCTGGGGCAGCAGCCCTGTCCACATCTGCCGATCTTTGAAATGCTTCAGATAGAAGTCTTGCATGGCAAGCTCAAATGTAAATATCTGTAAAAGCATATTTTACTTATATTTGTTCAAAATCAGGAAAATATACATAAAACCTACTAGTTATGCTCAAACGCAGACATCTGTATCATCGTAAAAAAAAGCATCGGTCGAGGGACAATTTCAATTATTCTAGAGCTCCATCTAGTGAAAAAAATAACCCATCTATGGATATAGATTTTAAATACTGGGACTGGAGAATGAAAATGAAACACGATTTTGCCCTACACATTTGCCTTATTGTTGTAAGAGTGGTGGGCTACTTACAAGACTTCAGACTACTAGAGAACCTTGTCCACCTGGAAATGAAAGGCTGCAGTGCAATAACTCCCGACTACAGCTCTTCCCTCCCCCCTAGAGAGTCAAGATGGGTCATCATAGCCAAGGGAGAGGTCCTGATTTCACCATCAGAGCGCTGGCTGGAATCCTCAAGGGAGGCAAGAAAGCGACGCTCCATTCAGAAACGGTCCGAAACTTGACATGGACATAGATACCCAGCACCCACCTGCAGAACTGCCTCCCGTTCTTCATCAGAGAGCCTCTTCATGGCTGCCTTTCGAAGGTTCTCCTGCACATAGTTGTCGTATTCTTCTTGGGCTTTCTTTACTTCCTGGTTTCGCTTACATATATATTCAGGGGTCGCTCCATAATCCTGTCAAGGTGTTTAATGCAGATGAAAAAGTCAGTATCCTGCATGCAATCTTCCATCTGTGAATACACTAACCGAGGAATGGGAGACAAAAACGAAACCTTAAGATGTAAAGGCTTTGTTCAAAACACTGCGAGTTGATGCAATGAAGCCATTTTGCTCACTAGGAAGTATGAGGGGGGTTCAAAAAGTTCATGGAAAGATGGAATGAAAAGACAATGGACTTCTTCTATGAACTATTTTGAGCCCCCCTGCAATTGACCCTGGAGCCTTGATGGCACACAGTGGGTTACACGTTGGGCTGCTGACTGAAATGTCAGCCGTTGGACACCCCCAGCTGCCCGGCCGGAGGAAGATGGGGCTTTGTCGTCTCATGAAGATTTGCTGTCTTGGAGACCCACGGGGGCGGTTCCCCTCTGTCCTATAGAGTCACTATGGCCAGAATGGACTCAACTGCAGTTGGTTGGAGTTGGACTTTTCTAGTAGATTCTGGTCTACTAAACCCACCTGAGTTGTTCCTGAGGCTGCTAAGGTTCTTTCTTCTTGCCTAATGACATCCAGTACCTGTTCCCGACTGGTGAGCTGGTCTCTAGGAAGGAGCCCTGGTGGTGCAGTTGGTAAATGCTCAGCTGCCACCCGAAAGGTTGGGAATTCAGACAGAACAGCCGCTCCACGAGAGAAGGTGAGGCCGGCCGTCTGCTACTATGAAGATTACAGCCCGGAAAATCCTATGGGGCAGTTCTACTCTCTCTTCTAAGGTCACTCTGAGCCGAATCAAGTGGACAGCAATGGGTCTGAGTTTGGTTTCGTTCTAAACCACTGGTTCTCAACCCTTTCATACAGTTCCTCATGTGATGGTGACCCCACCACCACCACCACCATAATATTATTTTCGTTGCTACTCATCACTGTCATTTTGCTACTGTGATGAATCGGGTGACCCCTGTGAAAGGGTTGTTCGGCCCCCAAAGGACCCACAGTTTGGAACTGCCATTTTAGACCTAGTTGTGGCTTTTTCTTTATTTGCTTTAGGAGTGTAGGCGTTAGCCTGGAAATGTCTTAAGTTTCTCAGGCTTGTTTTGCAAACTCTTCCAAGGCCTTTATAAAAACCAACCCTTAAAAATAACACGGGCATCGGCTTTCAGAGAAAGTTGACTTGGCCCTGATGTTGGTTCTCGAATGGAGAGCACAGTTTGAGGCCCCGAGGGGGCTTACAAGGACCGATGGCAGTGTTATCAAGAGTGATTCCACCCGAATCATCGCTATGTTGGTATCATGATTTAAAGAAATGGAACTGCTCATTGTTCACTCTTTAAACTATTATTTGAGCATGCACTGGGTGCAGGGATGAAAGTGACTAAGAAAGGTGATGTTTTTGCCCTCATCGAGTATGACTTCCACGGCAACACAGACTCACCCTAGATTGGCTAAAAGCTAAGTCACAAGTGAGCTGGAGCAGTGAGGGAAAAATAATAAGGGCTTTCAGAGAAATGAGGGGGTCAAGGAAGCTCTGTCTAAGATGACTGTAATTGACAGATCTGGTAGTCATTGAAACTGCCCTCGGATATTCTGGTTCTTCTTGCTTTTCTTCTTGATGGAACAATGCTTTCTTGCTTTTCTTGAAATAAGAAGCCCTGGTGGGATAGTAGGTTAGGTGTTGCGCTGCTAACTGCAAGTTTGGCAGTTTGAATCCACCAATTGCTCTGTGGAAGAAAAATGAGGCTTTCTGCTCCTGTAAAGACTTATAATCTGTAAACCCAAAGGGGCAAGTCTCCTCTGTTCTTCGGGATTGCTACAGTCAGAATCCACTTGCTGGCCATCCTGAGGTTTGGCTTTGGCTGATTTCTCTTGAAGTAAGGATAATTCACCAGGTGAATTCTCCAATGTGAGCAGAGGTGACCTCTGTCACTTCTGGGAAGAAGTTTTTAAGAATTAATTTACATGATTTTTCTCTAAACTACAGTGACCATAAGCATTTGGGGGGGTCCCTGGTCCTGGGGGAAGACTAACACAGTCTCTGACCCCCAGCAATGGACATTTAGCACCAGTAAACAACATCCAGAAGAGGCAAAATACGACCTTGAGTCTACCCTGCCTGAATTTCGAGACCATCCCAAGAACACATTTGATGCATCAAACACTAGAAACAGGAGAGCTTTGGGAGGACATTAAAACCATCATTCAGGAAGCAAGTCAAAGGGCATTAAGAAGACAGCAAAGAAAGAAAGGATCAAAGTGGATGTCAGAAGAGATTCTGAAACTTACTCTTAATCATAGAGTAGCGAAAGAAGCAAATGGAAGAAAGGAAGATGTCAAAGAGCTGAATAGAACATGTCAAAGGGTAGCTCTAGAAGACAAAGCCAGATATTATAATGAAATGTGCAAACCAAAAGGGAAGAGCACCCTCAGTATATCTTAATCTGAAAGAAGTAAAGAAAAAAATTCAAGCCTCAAGTTGCAATAATGAAAGATTCTATGGGCAAATTATTGAGTGATGGAGGACGCATCAAGAGAAGTTGGAAAGAACACATGGTGTCATGTACCAAAAATAACTAGAATGAGTCAACACACCACCATTTCAGGAGGGAGCAAATGAGCAAGAGTCAATAGTGCTAACAGCTGAAGTTCAAGCTGCATGGAAACATTAGCCAAACATAAGGCTCCAGGAACTGATAGACTACTAACTGAAATGCTTCAACAAGCTGATGAAGCACTGGAAGCACTCACTCGTCTATGCCATGAAATTTGAAAGACAGCTACTTGGCCAACCAACTGGAAGAGACGCATATTTGTACCCATTCCAAAGAAAGATGGCCCAACAGAATGCTCACACTATCGAACAATGATCACTGATATTACAGACAAGTAAAATTTTACTGATGATCATCCAAGAACATTTGCAGCAACACATTGACAGGAAGTTTCCAGGGGCTCAGGCCAGATTCAGAAAAGGACATGGAACAAGAAATATCATTGCTTGATGGCTACATATGTATAAATGTGCTTGACACAATCGATGTATGTATGAATTGTGATAAGAGTTGTATGAGCCCCTAATAAAATGATAAAAAATATATATCATTGCTTACATGAATGGATCTTGGCTCAAGACAGAGAATACCAGAAAGCTATTTCTGTGAGTTTTACTGACTATGCCAAGGCATTTGACCATGTGTAACATAACATAAACTATGGATAACGTGGGGGGCCGGCCCCAATCCCAACTACTACATGGACACCTGCCCCTCCCCCAGAAGATTTTATTTCAAAGGACAGCATTGAATCTTCAGCTCCGGGAGAGGGACATATCTGATCGGAGCACATGGGAGCAGATAAAGTGGGAGGAGGAGAGAGTGGAGCACATCCTGGCCCACCAGGCCGTGAGGACGATGTTCCCAATTAAAGCAGCCAGTCCACAGAGAGGACCATATGGCCGGCCCCACTATGAGACATGACATCCCTCACTGACCCATAGCCCTACAGGGGACAACAACGGAGACACAGTGTGGGAATTGCACCTGATCTGATCCCCCCACACTGAGGCAAAACACTAAGGGAAGGGAGCGGCGAGGTCCCCAGGGAATGCTGAAGGTGGACTTTGGGGTCAGGGCATGGTGCCCCAACAGACTGGGCTGGAAAACACTCCTAAAGGCCAACAAACAATTCTTGAACTTAAAATAAAACCCCAAAACTATGGATAACCTTGAGAAGAATGGGAATTCCAGCACACTTCATTGTGCTCTTGCAGAACTCGTACATGGCTCAAGAGGCAGTTGTATAGACAGAGCAAAGGAATACTGGATGGTCAAAATCAAGAAAGGTGTGCATCAGGGTTATATCCTCTCACCATTCTTATTCAATCTGTATGCTGAGCAAGTCATCAGAGAAGCTGGGTTATATGAAGAAGAATGTGGCATTAGGATTGGAGGAAGGTTTATAACAACCTGTGGTACGCTGATGACACAAACCTTGTTTGCTGAAAGTGAGAAGGATTTGAGGCACTTGCTGATGAAGATCATGGATTGCACGATGGTTTCACAAATGGGTAAAAGTTTAGGGATCTGAAATATTCCTCTGTGTTGCATCATTGAAGGCTCCTGTGTACTTTACATACTAATAATTTAAAATAGTATAATAGACCTAAAGCCACAGCTGTGAAGTTGATTTCAATTCATAGAGCCCCTATTGGACCCTGTAGAGCTGCCTTCATAGAGTTTCCAAGGCTATCAGTCTTCATGGAAACAGAATGCCTCATCTTTCTCCCCCAGAGTGGCTGGTGGGTTTGAACTGCTGACCTCTTGGTTAGAGGTTGAGTGGTTTCACCACTGCACCATCGGGATGATATTCATTCATCATAAAACTTTTTAAAATGCCATGTATTGTGTCAAGCACTTAACATATTTGATATTACTTAATCCTCCTCTCATACCTGAGCTACATCCAATGACTTGTTAAAGGTCACAGAGCAAGTAAGTGGCAGAGTTGTGATCTGAGGTGCTGTCTTATTGCTAGGTGCCTCATGCAATCATCTTGCTTCAGTTTGCCTTTGGAAATTGTTTCTAATGGCATAAATGGGTATATAACATTTTATTTGAAACAATGACACGAGGCTTATTCATTTTGAATGGCATTGTCCTTAAAGGGATTGACTTATCTCACTTACCAATAATAAATATTTAAACTTTAACTCAGATAAGTGAGAAGTCAGTCGAATAAGTTTGTCATGACCCCGATGGATTCATTAGTAGCACCAAGAGAATAATAAAATGCCCTAACCAAACTCGCTGGTATCTAATCGATTCTGATTCATAGGGAGTCCCTGGGGGTAGAGTAGAACTTCTCTATTGGGCTTTAGAAACCACCAATCTTAACCAGAACAGGCAGTCTCAGTTTTTCTCCCACAAGAGGACAATGGGTACCTAGAGAAATGGCTTTTCCGTGGCTTGGCTGACAAGCACAGGGTGACTCACTAATATTTTTTTTCTGAGTCTAGGAAGACTATTTCCAAATGTTCTGTTGAGAAGAAAATGCATTGAGGTGACTAGCTTCTTAAGAGGGCAGCCAGGAGGAGGGGCACAGTGTAGGTGAGAGAAAGAAAGGCATGTGACCGTGGAGCAATAATGGTTAGGAGGTGCTCTGAAGGTGCAGAGGAGTGAAATTTCTCTTTCCCCCGCCTTATGGATTAAAAAGGACACTGAACAGCCTCTGGGGCCCACAACGGGGGCTGTGGTCTCTGGAGAAGTACACAGTAATTGTATCCGCATGGGCTTCCATCTCTGCCAACATGCCCACTAAAATTCTTCACAAGTCATCTCACTCTTGCAGTTCCTGTCTTGAGTTTCAACAAGGGCTGCGTCTACCCACCTGAATCCAAGCTCCTCCTATGTTACTCATGAGATTTCCCCATCTGTCTTCCCTTCCTTCCTTCCTTCTATTATTTCTCCCTCCTTTCTTGTCATAACTCAGTTATTACTACTGTTTAGGATTTTGCACATGCCTTTGTCCTTCAGGTGTTTCAAGCATGCTTAGGGTTGACAAGTATACAAAGTGAAATCAAATCCATATTAGCTTCTTTGGGAAACTATTTGTTTGCTTTTAAAGGTCCTGTATATCCAAATCATTTCACCTAAGCTTCTATAACTGCCTCCAATAAAATTATATGCCTATCTTGTCAGCAAAGAAGACTTGATTTTCTTTAGTGTCCAACAGGGCTGGGTTGCTGAAAAATCCCTTCCAGACCTTCTTTGCCCTCAACTAAAGACAAGTGAATATATTTGCATAGGCACGTCAGTGTGAATGATTTACACGCTGCTACCAGGGTGGCTGGCTCCAAAGCTATGTTCCTCTTCAGTTTTCCCACTGTGCCCCAACCTACGGACTAAATCTGAGGCTCTCCTGACAGTTGATTCTTTCTAGAGTTGAGAAGTGATTGTGCTTTTAGTGACATTTCTACAGGAATGCTACAGTTGTTAACTATCTTCATAATTGAAATTAAGGAGGACAATTACACCTTTCATCTACTAAGCTATCTGGTGTTGTCTACTCCCCATCATTGCATAGGGCCTGCTCCATGTCATTACAGTCAATGTGAACCCAACACAGATGGTGGAGGAAGGTGATGGCCACCTGTACAATCAGTCCAGTGAGAGTGCCACTCATGACAATATAGGCCATTCTTAGGAATACCTTCCGGAAGTGAGTTGAGTTTTAAGGTCCATTGTAAATATTGCACCGGTTACCTTTTTATTGATGAACTGTGGAACTAATCCCGAAGAGTCAAGATCATGCTTGTCACCTGTTCGTTTGTCCACGTAAATTGGTTTCGGCTTTTTGGCAACTCCCATGATGACATCCGCTGCATTGGTATTTATGAAGTTTTTGGAGCTCTGTATTCCCATGACAGGATGCTCGCCCCGCAGCGGCACCGGAGGCTTCCTGGGCTCATTCCACTCAAACTTCTTTTCTGTCAAGCATACCATTTCATTGGTCACGCGAAAACTCTCAAAAAAGGTAGTCGGTACGATTTACTATATTCGGATCTATTACCACCAATCTATTTGAGCTTTATTACTCTGTTCAAATGCTTAAGGGAAACAATCATCAGAAAAGACCCAAAGGAAGTGGGACATAATCGATTAGTCTGCTGAAATACAGTCTGGAAGAGCAGTAGGAACATCTAAGGGAGGGGGATGAGCACCCCACATCATAGACTATGAATCCATTTTAATTGTATTACAATTAAAAAAATATTTCCTTATAAGGATTTCAACATCAGATGTTCAGCTTTTCCATGGCAATACGTTTAGAGAGAACAGAAATAGCGGATGCGGTACACAGGGAGAGGGGAGGCGGATAAATGGGCTCCCACCAGAAGGACTTTCTTTTTGATAGTGCAAACATCTTGAGCTATATCTCTCTTGGACTGGCTACAGAAGGCCAACGTCCAGCCTCATATACCTTGCGGTCTTATTCCTTGCATGCATGACTTCATTTTCAAACAGCAACTACAGGTATGGTTCTGAACCTGAGAGAGAATTTCTGATAAGTGGGTAAGGAAGATTCTGGGTTTTCCCCTTCTGAGTTACTGCCCGCGGGAGGACTACCGGGCCTTCACTGTAGAATCCTGTTCTCCCAGATCTCTAGGGTCCCGATGTTTGTTGTTGTCCTGTGCCGTGGAGTCTGTTTTAAACTAACAGCGACCCTCATGGGACAGTTTCCTAGGCCGTAATCTTTACAGCAGGTTTCCAGGTCTGTCTCCTGCAGAACCTCTGGGTGGGTCGGAAGTGCCAAAAGGTTCTGCAGGAGCCTGCCGCCAGGGTCCCTAAATGAGCCCTACAAATCAGCGAGACGGAAGGCGGTGATTTCAGAGCCCACACCCTCAGTTGGGACCTGTGTCAAAAGTAGAAAAAGGCCTCACACCTAGAAGGCTCCCATGCGTGGCGCTAGGTTTTACTTTTGCTGTCACGAATTGCTTAATGACTTTTTTAAAACCGAGGACTGTTACACGTTCCATTTGCACTGGACTCACTAAGTATACAGTTGATCCTTGTGGGAAGTGTTTTGATATCAGAAAAGGAGGGTTCCAGGGAAGTGGGGAGTAGATGGCATGGGATCAGTTACAATTATTGATGGAAGCACCTTTCCCCCATCCTGGCTATTGCTTTTCTGATGGCTAAGGTAACAGTAGAAGTCCTGGTGGCTTACCGGTTACTGCTGGGCTGGGATCCAATGTAACCCATAAGGTTGCATTGACTTGAGTCGGCATTGACTCAGTGGCGGTGCGTTTGCATTAATACATACAGGCAGATGAGTCTGTCTCTTCCTAAAAAGTTGGCTTTTTCACTATTCATGGTAGTACAAATATGGAAAAATTATAACTGCCCATCAGAGGAAGAATGGATAAATGCACTTTCATATATACGAGTGTACTGTGGATTACTGCACGAAGTTAAAGAACAAGGAGGAATCGGTAAAACACCTCATAACATGGGTAAACTGTTATGGAAGACACTATGCTGAGTAAAATTAATCACATAAGGACAAATATATGAGACCACTATTATAAAAATTCAAGAAAAGGTTGTTTCACTAAAAGCAATATTCTTTGATGGTTATTGGAAACATAAAGGGGAGTCAAGGGAAGCCATTGGCTAGAGGGCTGTAAATGTTAAATTGAGTGATGGGAGAAACCAAATTTATGCCATCAAGTCAGTGCCGACTCTTGGTGACACTGTAGGACAGTATAGAACTGCCCCCTGTGGATTTCCAGGACAGTAAATCTTTACAGGAGTGGAAAGCCTTATCTTTCTCTCTTAGAGAAAGTGGTTTGGAACTGCTGACCTTGTGGTTAGTTCCCCAGTACATGACTACTGCGCCCCCAAGGCTGCTAGGGAAGACTGATGGAGGTAGAACAAGACACTGGGAGTTTTGCAGGAGTTACGGAAAACAAGTGTGCTGTTATGTACATAATCCTGCATTGGTAGTAATCTATAGTAGCTCCCAAACTTGTCTGTCAACTCGCTATGGATTGTGTGTGGCTGTGATGCTAGAAGCTATGACACTGGTATTCCACATACCAGCAGGGTTGTCCAAAGTGAACAGGCTTCAGTGGAGCTTCCAGACTGAGAACAGACTGTGTAGAAGCAATAGACTATTCACATCTGAGTACTAGCCACTGAAAACCTTAGAAATAACAGTGGAACACTGTCAGACACGGAGCACCTCATGACTAACAGCAGAACATTGTCAGGTTCCCTGTGGAAAGATGAGCCCCTCAGGTCTAAAGGCACTCAAACTGGGTCTCAGAAAAAGCTGCCATATCAAAGCAGGTTCGGCCATAGTGATGTGGGGCATGACTGAAAAGGAGAATAAGAATAAACAGCTGCATGGTGACTGCAACTTGGAATATATAAAGTATGAATCTAGGAACATTGGAAGCTGGCAAAAAATGAAATGGAACTCAGGAAGACTGATATCCTAGGCATTAGTGAGCTGAAATGGACTGGTACTAATCATTTTGAATCAGATTATCGAAGGATTTACTCTGCTGGGAGTGAGAAATCTAAGAGCAATGGGGTTGCATTCATCGTTAAAAAGAACATTTTGAGATCTATCTAGAAGTACATTGGGTAACATCTATATGTCTATAAGGAAACCCAAGTGCTATATCATTCAAATTCACTAACCAACGACTTAAACCAGTGGTGAAGAAATTAAGAATTTAACCAACTTCTTCAGTCTGAAATGGATTAGACCTGCAATCAAGATCCATTGATAATTACTGGTAATTAAAATGTGAACGTTAGAAACAAAATGGAAAGAAAATATGGCTTTGGTAATAGAAACAAAGCTAAGGATCACATGATAGATTCCATGAATTTTGCAAGACCAATGACTTCTTTAGTGCAAATTCCTCTTCTTAACAACACAAAAGGTGACTATATATTATGAAATATACAGAATAAAATTGGCTACATTGGTGGGAAGAGATGTTGGAGAAGATTAAAATAAGCAGCTAAAATGAAGCCAGGGGCAGACTATGGGACAGACCACCAACTGCTCATATGTAAGTTCAAGTTGAAGCTTTAGAAATTAAAATAAGTCCACAAGAGTGAAAATATTACCTGGAGTCTATCACACCTGAATTTCGAGAACGTCTCAAAAGCAGATTTTGAACTGAACACCAATGACAGAAGACCTCATTCACCTCAAGAAGGCAGTGCACGAAGAAAGCAAAATGTCCCTGGAAAGACACGGAAGATCAGGGTGGATGCCAGGGGGAAAAAAATCTCTGAGACTTCCTGTTAATCATAGAGTAGCGAAAGCAAATTGAAGAAGAGATGAAGTTAAAGAGTTGGACAAAAAGTTTCAAATGGCAGGAGAAGACACAGTAAAGTACAATCATGGAATGTGCAAAGACCTAGAGTTAGAAAACCCAAAAGGAAGAACATGCTCAGCATCTCTTAAACGGACACAAAACATCAAAAGCAGATGGAAGGAATGCACAATAACTGTACTAAAAGGGAAAAGTTGACTGACATTCAGACATTTCAAGGGTTAGCTTATGATCAAGAACCAATGGTATTGAAAGAAGAAGTACAAGCCATACTGAAGGCATTAGTCAAAAACAAGGCTTCAGGAATTGCCAGAATACCAATTGAAATGATTCAGCAAGTACTCACTCACTCATCTATGCTCAGAAATTTGGAAACCAGTTACTTGGCTAACTGACTGGAAGAGATCCATATTTGCACCCATTCCAAAGAAAGGGTTCCATCAGTGTGCATACATTATAGATATCAATATCATTGATATCACACCAAAGTAAAATTTTGCTGAAGATTATCCAGCAATGGCTGCAGCAGTACATTGACAGAAATTCAGGCTGGGTTCAAGAGAGGACATGGAACAAGGGATATCATTGCTGACATCAATGAATCTTGGCTAAAGCAGAGAATATCAGAAATATGTTTATTTGTGTTTTATTCACTATATAAAGGCATATAACTGTGTGGATCATCGCAAACTATGGATGACCTTGAGAAGACTGGGAATTCCAGAACGTTAATTGTGGTCATGAAGAATGTATATGTATACAGATGAAGTGGCAGGTGTGTGTATAGAACAAGGGATTAAAAATCAAGAAAGGTGTGTGCCAGAGTTGTAACCTAGCTCCATACTTACTCATTTGCATGATGAACAAATAATCAGAGAAGATGAATTACATGAAGAATTTGGTCTCGGGATTGGAGGAAGATGTATTAACAACCTGCAATATTCAGGTGACATAACATTGCTTACTGAAAGTGAGGAGGACTTGAGGTACATGCTGATGAAGATCAAGGCTTGCAGCCTTCAGTATGGATGACATTCAATGCAGAAAGAATAAAAATCCTCACAACTTCACCCTTGGGTAACAACTTGACCAATGGTGAAAAGATTGAAGCTGTCAAGGATTTGATCTAGCTTGGATCCACAACGATGGTCATAGAAGCAGCAGACCAGAGATCAAACATCACATTGCATTGGGTAAATCTGTTGCACAAAACATCTTTCAAGCCCACCTGTAGAAAATGGGACATCCCCTCACAGAGGGGTCACAGGGAAGGGATGAGTCAACCAGGGTGCAGTAAAGCACCGATGAAACACACAATATTCCTTTGATTCCTTGAGGCTTCCTCACCCTCCACTATCATGACCCCAGTGCTGCCTTTCACTGCGGGCTAGACCAGAGCATGTGCACAGGTACAGATAAGAGATACGAACTCAGGACACATGGAATCTCAGAACAGGAATGGGAGTAGTGACGCCAGGAGGGTAGGGGGAAGGTAGGGAGTGGAGGGGAGGAAGCAGAACATATCGCAATAAATGACACATAATTACCACCAACCCCCCCTCCAGGTAGATGAACAACAGAAACCATGGGGGAAGGGAGTGAGACAGTGGTCGGGGTAAGATAAGAAAATTTATATGTGAGGATGGGGAAATATATCTATGTGCCTATATTTATAGGTTTA